ACGAATGGAAAATCCTAATGGAATGTGCCGACAGAATACCAGGAGGACATGTTCTTTTCAGTTGGCCATTTACCAGAGCTGTGGTGAATTTTGGGTGTGCAATGACATGCCACGAGGATAAAATGGATGTGAAATCGCTAATCTCACTTACCATACTGTTTGGACCTAGTCAGGAAGAAAGACCTTGGGAGGGGGGAGCCAATGCTTTCCAGAATTGGGATTAGTGGTGTTAGGATACACACACAGGCCGGGTTTCCGGAGAAACCCGCGGGATATCCGGTAGGACTTGGCTTCAGCTTATAGGCTGCGCCCTCGCTAGATCGTGTTGTCCAATTTCAAACGGACGGACGGGGATCCCAGGGAATCCGGGCGGGGTTCGTGGGTCGTATGTCGTAAGTCGGGGGTCGTGGGTCGTGAGTCGAGTTGGTTGAGAGAGATAGATGCACCGGAGCCCGTGGGCTCCGACTAGTGCGAGCGATGTGAATTGAGTAAGGTTTTAGAGCGGAAAATATTATTAGATTACTGGGGGGAATCTAAGCTAATTTTCTGACTGGATTGTATGTACAACATCTGCCAGTTTATATAGACCGTGGAATGCATGACATACCAAATCCAGTAATAACGAAACGAAAACTAACAAAACATGAAACGGGAATAGTAAACACCAAATTGGTGTTAGGAACGGAACGGAACGGAGCGGAGTCCGAATCGTGACAAAGGATAACCCATAATGGGAAACGGAGTGGGAGCGGAGTCCTAAATCGTGACAGGTCATTTGACTAAAATGGGAATGGGGCTCGATTAGAGCGGTGACGGGATTCTAAGCGGGGACCGGTGACTGATGCGTGGGACAAAGATGGACATAGACAGCGACGGAGTCCGGGGGAAGTCCGGTGACTGATATGTGTCATAATGAGGTCGAACGTAACGAGTCTTGACATAACGGAGTCCGGGCGGGAAATCCTATAAACAGACGATTGGTGCTTGTAGCGCGTGGGGGCGTACGGGTTAGTGCCCGGAGTCCGGCGGGATTGTCCGGTCGTAACAGTATCCTCCCTTTATGCCGAAGTCCCAAAGAGGCTCTAGACCTAAATAAGGTTCTTGTCGGCTACGCGCATGTGTCAAAAGTCATGTCGGTTACACGTATGTGTCAAAGAGTCATGTGATCTGGAAGGTAAGGTTCAAACGCGACGAGCCTATATAAAAATTTGAAAAAATAGAAATTTCTTCTTCTTCATTACCCCCTTCTTCGTCACTATGGGACCAAAACCAACACCACGCAAGCCAATGCCTATAGCAGGGCCCTCCACGGGCACTCCATATCGGGCGCCTTGGAGCGCGGCCCAATTGTTGGCGCGGCGAGAAGAGCAGCGCCAGCTTCGTGAAGCAGCAGAGAGAGAGGCGAGGGAGGCTGAGGAGGCCCTGGACAGAGAGTACCAGGAAGCGTTGGCCACGGAGGAAGAGGCCACGAAGGAGAGGGAACGTGAGGCGGAGGAGGCTGCGCGAGTGGCCGCGGAGAACGCCCGGGTGGCTGCAGAGAAAGCCCGGTTGGCCACGGAGAGGGCCGCCATTGTTGCGGGAAAGGTAAGTCCCAAATTTCACTTGTCGAACTTTACTGACTTGTGATTTTCAGCGCAAAGCGACAGAGGTGGAGTCCGAGTCCGAGGGGGAGCCAGAGAGCCCCCAAAAGGTAGGCCTCATGTCCGTGGGATACCCGCGGAAACTGACCATATCAACAGAAGGCAAGGAAGGTGGTGCCAGTCCGTCTTCCGATGCGGAACGAGCCGCAGTGTTCCAGTTGCAATGACCGGAACACGGAATGCAACCGAAAGGCCGGCCGGGGGCTGGGATGTTACCAATGCGCGCACCTCAAGGCGAGGTGCTCGCTTGTGCACGAGCAGGCCACGGGGTCCGGGACGCGAGACATAAGCGGAACGGATGGGTTGTCCGGGTTGGACGAGGTCCTTGGATGGATCACCGAGGGCATCGAGGCCCAAAACGAGTTGCTCCGGAAGAGCAACAAGGTCCACATAGTGGTGCGAAGGAGCTGTGCGGACTCCGCAAGGAATTTTGGAAGTTCCTGGCGGAGTATGGCGGCTATGTTTATGAGGAGCTGCAAGTCGGGAGTTCCAAGGATGCCGGATCAGATAAGGACAGGGTTGACGCGGAGGTCGCAGAGCTTCCTGAGGAAGTAGCTGAGGTGGCGGGGAAAAAGGACAGCCCCATAGAAGTAGATGAATAAAATAATAGAAATAATAGAACTTGATAATAATCTGAACATAAAAGTAAAGCGTGAAAACATAAAAAATAAAAGTCAAAGCCAAAGTCCACGGAGAGTCCGCTTAAAGACTTGACAAGACATGTCAGAACCTGTAAAAGCAAAGAGAGACATAGGGCGACAGGGAATAATGAAAATGAGTCCAAATGTAACACGGGTCCGCGGGGTGCAGTCAGAGAGAAGATAATGGTCCAGGTTTGAGCGGGTAAGCTGTATGAAAGTCAGTAACAATTTCCGTGGCATTACCGAGTTCCGTGGCCAAAATCCATGAGGTTTCTTCATGTTTCAGTTTGGGCTGATCCTTTAATCCCTTGTAAAATTCCTCTGAGATTAAGGAGAGAGCAGCTCCTGCATCCATTATTATTTTAACATGTTCAGAAGAGCCTGGGGTTCCTATGTATCCATAGACATGTAATGCTAAGATCCCTATGTTATAATAACTGCTGGGTGGTTCCCTCTTCCAATAGATAATGGTTGTATCCTCCTTCATTAACCTACTAGATCAGGGGTACTGTATTTTGGGTCTCTGTTCCCTTCTCAATGCTAGGTCAACATTCTGCCAAGTATGGCAGTTAGAGGTCTCCATAGGGGCAATATTTGGAGAGGATTCTTCATTCTCCTCCTCTGAATCAGAGTCCTCATAGGATAGTAACTAGGCAATTGTCTGGGACCAAAAGGGATGGTTCACACTTTCAGTTTGTTCAATTGAGAGGGGTCCTCTATGGCATATTTCTCACTGACTTGCCAATAGTGGTCAGTGAGTACATCTAAATAGATTATTTATTCTATAAGGGACAGTTTCAAGTGCATGAGATTATTGTTATCAACCAAATTTTCAAGGTTCTGATGATGGGCACTGGACTAGCCCCCATCCTCAACAAGGTCACTATCTGATATTCAGTAGATACATATACCTCTGATAAGTAAATTCCATTCAGGTTCACTTCCCCTTCCTTTGCTTGACCACCCTCCACCCAAGAGGTATAGACTGGAATAAGAATAGATTTGTCCTCAAAGTTATTTACTTGGCCATGTATGCTCAATCTATGAACTGCCTCATATAACCTTTGTTCCTCAGTTTCCTCCAAAGGATTTTTTCAAATAATACGCTAGCCTGGTGATCACAGTATGAGGACTCTCTACTGTTAGAGTGTAGCCACTAAGAGTAGAGCCAGTAGATGCTAAATCAGTGATATAACTAGGCTTTCAGATGAGGGATCTACTCCTCATCTGAACTAACTATATACTAGAATACATGGTCTGTGCACTGGTCTGTGTACAAATGTGCTACAGATCTAGTGAACACTAAACTAAATATAACAATCACATGTGTGAACCAGTCAGAACCTATACAGTCACAAGGTGAGATATGAGATTACGACTAATCACATTATCATATTCTAACAGGACTCTGCACAGAACATTTGTTAATGGAAACTAATGAAACATTTTTTCTGCATAAGGACAATCTATCTTAAAATGCTCCTGGTTCCTGCAGATCCAACACTCCTTGGGAGGCTTGACAGTGCTCCTTTTGTCACTTTTCTCAATGAACATTCTTCCTGTGATGTTTGCCCTGCATGCAATTCAATTTCCTGAAACCAGTCTTATTTGCTGAGCTCTTATCATTAATCTCCCTGATGAGGATGTGGTTAGATGTAGTGGGGTCATCCTTGATTTGTTAATGTTTCTCAATTTCTGAATCTAACCTATCTCACACTATCAACATGACTCTGGGCCTCTGGAATCAATGATGTTCTCAATGTGTTTGATTACAGGAATTAATTAGAGCTTCTTGTATATACTTCACACCATTGTATAACCACACTGATGAGTGACATAGTATGATTAACACAGACACTGAAAATAATATTACTTTCGTCCATATACTTCCTTGAATCAGGACAAGGTAACCAGCAGTATTTGATCTCAAATAATAGGTAGATAATGATATAAAATATAGAATGATACACAACTGTAGGACATCCTTAAGCTTTAGCAGCAAGTTCAAGTAGTCAAGAGAGTAACCTTGTATAAAGTTAAGCTCAGGACTTATGGGCTGATATCCCAGGGGATAACCTATGGGAGTTCTGGGGAGAGGTGAGACCTGGCTTCAGCTTATGTGCTATGATCATTAATTCCTAACCTGGGTGGATGGGTATTGGTAACCCAAGGGTCCAAGAATATCCAATGAGCCAAAGTCAGGAGTCCTGGGAGCTCCAATAATACACTGGTACAAGCTGAGACAAACAAGTAGTTACAGTGACAAGGGTTGATATATTCAGTGATAAATTAACATTCTGATTGAATTGTAAGTACAACAAATCCTAGACTATATAGACTAAGTGATTATTATACTACTAATCCAGCAAAACAAAAAGATGAAAAGGGTGAACAAGAAACAATACAGGGTAGACCTTACTAGGATTAAGGATTGAAATGGAATAGGAAAAAATCCAGGAGAAACAATAAGCAGATGAATAAATGTATGGCAGATAGACTCAGGGGCAGATTGGGACATGAGATCTTCAAGCATATAGAGGGTACAGGATATCTGGATGGAGTCCAGGTGACTATTCACCCTTGACAGAGAAAAATGGGATGATATAGGATCTGGGGCCTGGTGGGAATAACATACTCATGTAATGCCAATACCAATTACTCTGCATAACAGCAACCACACCCTATAGAAGTGGGGCCCATAACCTGATAGAAAGGGGAATGGCCAGACTGGGAATTGAACCCAGGGTCTTCTCTATATGTATAGTAAAGGTGTTAACCACTACACCTGACCTTTGGTAGGTCCAGTCTTACACTGTACTGAAGGATATATCCTCAAATGCCTTTCCTATTAGATTATATATACACTGAACTCAGAGCTGTATACCAGATGGAACAGTGGTTGGTATTATGTCTATACAGTATATAATCTAGCAGGAATGGGAGGGAATGAGATTCTGTCAGTCTAACTATGACTGCAAAGCCCCAGTTCAGTATATCAAGGGGAGAATCAAGTTCTATCACTTCTTATACAGTTTCCATCAAACTTGTGAGGAAGAAATGCATCATCTAATCCTGACCCTGCCCACAGAATGGTTGTACTTGCTGCAAGGTCAATCTATTAATGATACATATCATGAGCCTTCAGACTTATGCCAATACTAGGCTTGACTCTGTTGTTTTGGTCATGGTTTTCCTAATTTTGCACTACTCTCCAGTTGTAATTTGACCTGTACTGTATGTAGATCGAGTCACTTGATAGTCAGAGCAGCAATACTGTATCCACCATCCAGTGGGTGATTTTTTTATCTAATCCTCACTACTGCTTTACCACCTGGAAGGTCTCAATCTCTATCATCAGAATATATCAACAGTTCTTTCTTTGGCTAGTGATGATGAGACAATCACAACACAGGAATCTAAAGGCAACCTCAGCCTCAATGGACCTTCCTTTAACCTGTTAAGTACCATGTTGGGAACTTATTCTGGAAACTATCAGGAAATGTCTGGGAACTTGGGAACCTTGGGATAGGTTCAGGATGTTGGCTTCCACTTATATGCTGCACCTGTATGCAAACACTCAGAATGTCCTTAATTTCAGAGATGGGATTTATACTGGGAGATTATAGATATTCAGAGTTCTGAAGAGTTCTGAAGAGTTCTGAAATATCGAGTGTACAGAAAGAAGGAAGGAATAAGAAACTAAGTGGATATCAGATCTAAAGTAAAGTACAAATTTGCAGAAACTAATATAAGTTTTTTCATTATTGTACTACAAACTAGGATCATAATAAGATGGATTTAGATGAGTACAGTGACTCAAAAAACCCTTCCAATGTTTGGTACTTCAGATGTATATCCTTGATAGCTCAGAGGAGAAAATTGCAAAAATCTCGAAAGTATCTGTGAATATGCTCTATCATATCTAGATTGTTGAAATACAATGTCATTACATAAGCTCCAAATATGGAAATACTACAAATATATATATACAGGAGACTCATTGGAAGGGTTTTTTGGCCAACAACTCTGACCCACAAAACTACTAATATTCAGTACTTAGTATGGCTATCCTTTGCCTTCAACACACCTGCAACCCTTCTAGGCATACTCTCAATCAAATTCTGACACACCTCTACATCAATCTTGTTCCACTCCTCCTCTACCCTCTCCCACAACTTCAATATCCCTTATCCCCCTCTTTTTATGATTCCACAAGTATTCAATGGGGTTGAGGTCTGGAAACTGTGCTGGCCATGGGAGGACATTAAAATCATTATCTTGAAACCAAGTCTGGGCCTTCTTGCAGGTGTGTTCAGGGTCATGATCTTGCTGAAAGATGACATTACCCACATATTTTCCATAATAGTTGGCTTGAAGGTTCTCCTCCATAATCTTGAGAGAAAGGTACCCATCCATTCTCTCATCTATCTTGAAAGAATACCCAGGTCCTTCCCACAGCATGTAGCCCCATAATATCACAAATCCTTCTCCAAACATCACAAAAAGTTCCTTCCAATGAGTCTCCTATATATAAATATTTGTAGTATTTCCATGTTTGGATCTTATGTAATGGCACTGTATTTGCATAATATAGATATGATAGAGCATATTCACAAATATATTTGATATTTTTGCATTTTTATTCTCTGAGTTATCAGGGATGTAAATCTGAAGTACCAAACATTGGAAGGATTATTGAGGCACCCCCAACCATATTGAGACTATTGCACACAGTTGGGGTACAGATGGACTGGTTGGTGACATTCTTAAGAGCTTTGGCCACATCAAAAGCAGTGTCGGCCTTCCCAGAGCTGATGAGATGCTGTGCATAGTGAATATTGGTAGTGGAAAGCTTGGAGGGGTGACCACCAATGGACTTAGAGAGATGACAACAATGCTTGGAGTAAAGTCTAAAGACTGTGCCAATGCCATAACTAGTAGGAGCTAAAATGTGGCTAGCTGTATGGCCAGCATCAAGCAGTGAGAGGATATGATTCTGGCTGGCAAGAGACAAAGTGCACATTTTGGGAATTGGGACATTGCTAGTTGCTAAAGGCGATGTATTTATACTGCAGCACAATGTGGTCATGTGACATCATGTGATTTTGTTGATAGGGCCCAGTTGGAGGTGAACAATCAACAAGGTCACATGACTATAAGCATTTATGTATAGTCATCAATGCTGCCGGCCAAAAAACCCTTCCAATGAGTCTCCTGTATATATATATTTGTAGTATTTCCATATTTGGAGCTTATGTAATGAAATTGTATTTCCACAATCTATATATGATAGAGCATGCCTACAAATATTTTTGATATTTCTGCATTTTTATCCTCTGAGCTATCAAGGATATACATCTGAAGTACCAAACATTGGAAGGGTTTTTTGAGTCACTGTATTCCGAAACAGGAATACAACAAGGAAACAAGTGAATACTTGTTGACTGTCAAGTTACCAAATACAGAACAAGGATGTGGTCTGGAAGTACAGGAACTATAAATGTTCTGTAGTCAGAAGTTGGGTCAGATGTCAAGTGTTATGACCCGTTCCCGGATGTTTCAATATCCGACTTCCAATCTCCGACTACGGAACATCATAGTTACCATATTATCCGCATTCTTCCCTTGTTCCACATTTGGTAATTTGTCCGTTGACAAGTATTCACTCGTTTGTTTGTTATATTCCCGTTTCAGAATATTGTCTCCCTAATATGTCTTATTGTATTTCCGTTTTAAGAACACTTCCGTTTCCGTCTTATTATGGTCTTAGTTTGTAGTACAATAACGAGTAGACTTATATTAGTTTCTGCGAATTTGTACTTTACCTTAGATCTGATATCGACTTAGTTTCTTATTCCTTCTCCCATCTTTCTGTACACTCGATATTCGGAACTCTTCGGAACTCTGAATATCCGTATCTTCCATTGTAAGTCTCACTTCTGAAATTAAGGACTTTGAGCGTTTGCGTAGAGGTGCAGCACATAAGCTGAAGCCAACGTCCTGACCCTATCCGATAGTTCCCAACTTCCCGGTGACCTTTCGATAGTTCCGGAATAAGTTCCCAACACGACACTTAACATCAAGTCAGAAAGTTGGATTGGAGACTTGGGTGGAAAGTTGGATAATTATGGAAGATTGAGTATCTGGGAATGGGTCATAACACAACTGGGGTGAAGGTATGTAGTTATACTAAATAGACTGGTCATAAAATTACTAATACATTGACAGAGAGAGATACATATAAGGGCCACAGCTGTCAATGATGTTGTGTACAGATCACCAATACTAGGTAACAAATGATTACTTTTTGCCAGTCTCTCATATTATAGGAATATTACTCAGTATGTTTTCTTGGCTTAGAATTCCATGCTTAGTTCTACTCTAGAGTCACTTGTTCACTCATTCCTATTGATGATTCAGTCAGTGATTCACTGTTCACTGTTCAAATGCTACAGAATTGGAAATGTGGAAACAGCAAGTTTTATACCAATAAACAGAATATAGGAGTGACAGATGTTTTCATTTGTAGTAATTTTTGATTATTAATCATAGGATATAATTTGATAAGCTTTATTTTAAATGTTAATATTTGTCATAAGAGTTACATCAAGTATTATTGCAAAATAATGATTAGTTGGGTTGAGCCTGTCTAGCTGAGCTACCTAGCCTATAGAGTCGAGCTAGCAGGCACCTACCAATGCTAACTAGCACCAAGCCATTATATCTAGCCTATATTGACTACTGCAATATCCTACCTCAACAACATTACTTAAAATAGTTTCACTAGGCTTCCCAGTCAGACTCATTAGCTATTTCCCTATTCCCTAATGATGCGATACCGACTCTTTTATAACTATTTAACATACTTAACATCCATCTGATGTAATCTCAAATTCTGCCAGCTCTTTCCTAGCCTTTCTGTTACAATAAGGCATGGAGTCAAGGGAGCCGGACGATAGCTATCCTTCATTTTTTATCAATAACGCTGAAAGCGGGATTATGCTCCCCACCACTCTGAAATGACATGTAATAGTCCCAATGTAAACTATGCAACAAAGGCGTGATGGAGATTTACTCCGATTCTACTTACTTGCCCCACAAAACCTCAAAGTAATTTACGGAGACAGGAAGGCAACGGATCACAAATGGCAAGTAACCTACAATGGAATCTGTATGACCAAATATCTATAGTGAGACAGTGCGCAAATCATTTCCTATTAATGACCATTGTATCTCGGCGTTTGCATGGTAGTTGTGCCGCTCGCTTTCCAGGTTGCCGGGGAATCGTGACAGTCCGGATGTGCCCTGTTCGATTCAGTCGGCTAGATCGGCTCCCCGAATGGTCCGTGCTTGCCCTTTTAATGGGAAATTAACTGCCGTCACCTTTCACTTTATTCACACATGTTCGCATCGGATATGCGACATACAGCGCACAGCTGCAAGAAGGTAGATCCTGTCAGATGATCACCATGATCTTATTGTTAGATCCAGCCGCTGCAATTCATCGCTTTTGGACCTTAGGCGGTATTATCTGGAGGTGTCCTATAAGTATCCCTCCCCCTCCAGACCCTGACACGACCCATATCTCTTCTTTTCATGTCGAACTTCTCTCAAACCCCCACTGTCATCACGGCGACAAAGATTACGACACTGCCCTCTCCGTCCGACCCCCTGTGTGACTACGTCCCGCCTGCGCATCCGGCAAGAACTTTAGTCTTGTGCTTTGATGGCACTGGAGATTCATTCGATGCAGATGTCTGCCCCCCCTCTCACACTGTACATGTTCGCTTA